CATAAATTATCACTATGTGCCATTTGCTTTTATTCCATTTTCATTTCCACGTTATTATTAATTAAACTGAGAGATAACTATAAGATGACTCAACTTAGGTTTAATTCTTAACAGCTCGCACTACTGGTTAAGCGTCTAACTCTATCGGTTATAACTGTAATGTGTTTCTAAAATGTTCGATCTGATGCCGTACCTGAAAATAATCGAAACACTCCTTTTTCTATCTTCTCTCGACTATTGCCAGGCTCTTATATTTTGTTGAATACAAGTAAGCGATAATCTTCAAATTTATTAAATGTCTTCTAATATTTATCATTAATATATTCTACGGATAAAATACTTGCTACTTGAACTGAATTCAAATCAAAGCATCCAACAATTTCTTTGGACACATTTTGAAGGTATACTCGAAGGTATGAATCAAAGTGGAATTGTGCATTCTTCTGGAGACCTATGCCTTTATTTTCTCTGCTAGTGTCTTCATCCTAGTAGCCAATGATTAGTTAGCCAAGCCAAAAGTAATAAATTTAAAGGAGATAAAAATTAGTATTTCCCTCAAACTTATCGCTTATTAAGCCACCGAATTATTATATATATTAAAAATAAATATATACTCGTAAATCTTCAAGTTTTTTTCAATGAATCTCTTTAATGTTCGTTGTTAATTCTTCAAAAAATTTTAACCATTTCTGGCAATTGCGTATAGCCAATATAAAATTAGAAATTTCAAAGGTAGTTTTTTTTCAATTGTTTATTTGCTTAATAAAATTCAGAGAAATACTATTTGACTTCATTTTTCTCGCAATTTTTCATCGTTCGCTACTAAATTTCTTTAAATACAATATTACTTTTATTTTCTTTAACATATTTTTATCCTTTAGAATAACACAAATGCATATTTGCAAGTCAATTTGAATTTATTTTATTTATTATTTGTTATTCGTTTTAAAATAAACATGGATTATCATTTATCATTGTTATTTTATCAAAATTTATTACTTTTTTTGATTTTTTTAAATCACTGATTATCAGTAAATTTTTTATGATCAAATCAGTTTGCTTAGAAAGAAATTTAATAAATTTTCTTCTTAATTGAGTTCTACTTGAGAATTGAGAATTTTAAAAAAAGAATTTTTGTTTAAAGATTCATATTTGTTTTTTATAAATAAAATTTATTCTAATAAAATTTAGTTGGAATAAACTGAATCATATTTGTGTTTAGTGCGTGATTTTTGAGATTTTTATGTTCTCTTTCGAAAAATATTGAAAAGAAATTTTTTATAGGTTTTAAAAAAGTTTAAAGTCAAAATGTTTTGTTGAATCATTACTTGAGAAGTTTCAAATTTCAAAGAAGTAAGTTTTCACTTTGTAATTGAATTTTTGTGAAGAAGCGACTAATTATTTTGAGATAATTTAAGTAAACATTATTAAAGTAAGAAAAATAAAAGTAAATAGGTGTTGAAAGTTTAAAACAAAAATTTTTTAATAAAGCAGCATTAAAATATAAAATAATTAATTAATTAATTAATTAAACCAAATTAAATTTGAGAAACAAACAATTCGAAAGTATAAATTTTAAATATTTTATTTTTAAATAAAAACTGAGATAATATTAAATATTTCAAAAATTAAAAAAAATTAAAATAAAAAATAGCTTAAAATTAATTAATTAGTTTAATTTAGTTTAAAATTTAATGAAAATTTTAGCTTTTTGCATAAATTTTGCATGAATTATTAAAATGAAAATTATTCGAGAACAAGTTTCATTAAATTAGATTTTAAATTTTGTCTCTTCTCAGTTGTTGATTTATTATTGAGTGAAATATTATTTATTATTGTAATTTATTTATCAGTAATCATTAAGTGGAATGGTTAATAATTAATTGCTTTATGTTATATGATGAAAGCATCGTAGATTTTATTCCTATTCCTATGACGAGTAGAAATCTCTCTTAACTTCCCTCTCTTAACAAATGGCTTTCTGGCAAAAGACTTTCGCTTTCTGGTAATCGGTAGAGTGAACTAAACGAGAAATTAATGGGCATCGTTAGAATACGTGAATTTTTCTTTAAACTTTAGGAATGGATATTCGAGCAATTCATCGCCTTGTTAATCCCTTTTAAATCCAACGTTATATTGCCAACTTAGTGAAATATAGGAAAAAAGGAAGTTCCCTAAATCGTTGTTTAGCATGAAGATTTTTTTAAAGAGTCCTCACCATTACTGGTCAAATCCCACTCGCCCCACTGGCTTGTGGCATTGAGCAATATGCTTGGTAATCCCTTGGCAATAGAGATGAATCGCCAGCATCACGCGGATTTTTGTACAGATTTACTCGTGGTGGGAATCGAACCTCAGCATCGGCGCTCCCTGAGCAACAATCAACTGAACCATTCTATCCTCATTAGCTTGACGATTAGCATTGTTCATACTTCTTACAACGCTAATTCTACTTTTTTTTTTCCCAGCCAACTTGAATTTTTGAGGATTTATCAATGTTTTAACAAATGAAAGTTTATCAAAATTCTGCAAATGTGGATTTGCGACTAAAATTTTTTATCATAACACTCTGCAAACATGTAAGAAATATTCGTTTAAAAGAAATTTTAAATTAAATTCTATTATTATTTATTATTTTAAAACATCATTATTATATTTATTATAATAATTATTTTAAAACATCTATTAGGTTATCAGTTTTATATATTCCGTAATATACATTGATATATAGGTGTATGGCCAAATGGCGAATGAAAAATTCTTGAATGGAACGAATTCGAATTATCAGTTCAACAGTTCAGCTCACTTTAACAAATCAACAAATCGATCAACAGTTCATCTCAAAAAGACTCAAAAAAACGGGAGCAGAGTAGCAGAGGTGGAATCTATTGTCGCTGTTTTTGCAACAATAAGTCATCTCCAAATTCTCCAAAATCCCAGAGCTAATTTTCCTATCCTCAATTTTCAAAATTTCTGGTGGAAGACCGAAGATTGAGAAAGACCCACAAGGCATGAGACTGGAATTTTTTTTTTTTTGCATGTATTCTCGCCTTAATTTCAAAAATATATATATTTTTTTCAATGCGATAAAGAGGGAAAATAAAAATATAAAATGAAATTTATGATGAATTTTTAGCAAATCAACTGAACAGGTTTTATCACATAAAATCTGGTTATATTTGCTAATTTTTCCGAGTACGCAATCTAGAGGAAAAAAATTTTTCTATATTCATCCTACAAATTTTCAAATTTAAAAAAATTCCACAAAAAAGGAATTTATTTTGAATAAATTTGCAAAGAATCAATTGTTTTTTGCAATATCTTCGGATTTTTCCTGAGCGCTACGAGCGCTCATTTTTAATTCGGCCATTTTCATTGGCTTGTCGAATCAGACAAATATTGCCTGAGGGCTCACTAGGCTATAGAAATATAAGAAATAGTGAATCGCCGGCATTATTCGGTTTTTGGAAAAACTCTTCTCTATAGGTTTATTCTTATCGAGAAAAAAATGCAAACATTAGCGCTGGGAAATGAGAGCTCACAACTCATTGTACCATTCTACATACGATTAATTAAATATTTATTGCACATTTGAATAATTTGAAAATTATAAAAAACGAACGATAAAAATTATTATTGCTCATCGAATTTTAATGGACTCCGTGCAAAAGAAATTATTTTTTATTTCTCTCTTTAGCAAATAATATTGAATTCATTTGGAAAATAATAATTTTATAAGTGAAAATCTTAAGAAATCGGGTTTTTGAAATTTTATTAAATTTCTCTCAAATGCTTATATAAAGAATGGACGAAGAAAAGAAGGAAGAAGACACGTTTTCCTCAACAAATTTCATTCTATCATCTTATTTGCTAATTTATTAAATATATAAATAATTATTTGCGTTTTATTTCAACTATTATTATCGTAATAGTAGTAATAATTTTAATAATTATAATAATAATTTTCTCATTTTTATTACAAACAAAATTTTTTTGTAAAATAAAATAAAAATGAAAATTTCAATTTACTAGGAATAATAAACAAATAAATAAATAAATAAGGATAAATATTTTTATTTTAATGATTATCATTGTTGGTAAAAATTATTTTTGTGTAATATTATTATATATATTATTATTCTTTTATTTTTTAATTTTGAAAATAATACTTTTAAGAAAAAAAAAGATATTTTCTTTTTCAATGAATTTTATTCATTTGATTTTCAATATCTTTTATATGCTTAACAATAAATAAAAAATAAACCGATCGTTGAAAATTTCCTGTTTCCAAACAAATTTCTGTTGGAAATCGTTATAAAAGATATTTTAAACTTAATTTTTTTTTTGTTAAAATCTGTCGAATTGCTAAATTGTGTGCTATTCGTCCATTGAATTTTAGTGTTTCATTAACATGTATTTCTGATAAATTCAACATTTTATCAAATGGCAAAAGTTCCGAAATTTTTTTAAAATTACTTTTTCTTTATCGATTAGCAATTGCAATTGCAAACAGTTTTGTTCAAAGTTAATATTTTTCTTTAATTTCCTATTTGATTATTATTGTTGTTAATATTTGCATATTTATTATTATTATTATTATTAAAATTATTAATATTGAGGCAATTTAATATTTTTCTGAATAATTAATTGTTAACGAAGAACCTATCATAGCGACCAAAATAGGAATATATTTATCAGCAAAAACTTAAGATCTTTTTCGCTGAGTCTTTGGCTTGTCACTTATTAGCAAAATATTTTCAAGCGAGAAAATATAATGAAGTTTGGAGCGAAGAGAGCGTTTAACGTGGTTCGAGTCGGGTAACACAATTTTTTTCTAAAAAAATGCACAAATAAGCATATTTCATATTTGAAAAATTGTATAATATACATTAACGGATTTTAGTCTATTTTTGTTAGTAATCGTTTTGTTGTCGCTAAAATCGAAAATTTAAAATTATCAGTGAAAATGATATAATGATAAAGCGAAATATTTTAGAGATATGAGAACATCAAGTGTGGCATTTAATAAAATATTGGACGATTTAGCTAAACGACAATTATTATTAGATTTTCAATTTGGTTCAGCTCGTAATAATTATGAAGCGATAAGAAATATTGGCGCTGGTGCCTTTGGTATTGTTTGTGAAGCAGTTGAAACCAGTTCGCTTAATAAAGTTTGCTTTACCTGTTCTTTTAGCTAAATAATTTCTAATTTCTTATTGCTTATATTGGTGAATAAAAGTGACAAGGATAATAAATAGAATAATTCTCAAACAATATATTTATCGTATTAATAATCATAAATGTAAATAATAACAATAATAATAGTAATAGTGGTGTTCATAAAAATAATAATAATATTAGTAACATTAATTATAAGTAACATTAATAAAGGTAGCGATAAAAAAAATCGGACACGCAAGTGCGACACCAACGCTCGCTAGACGTACTCTTCGTGAAATACGTGTTCTTCGATATATCGAACATGAAAATATCGTCAATTTGAGGGATATCTTTCGAACCGCTGGAAATTTAGGTTCTCTTTGAATCATATCAAATTCAAATTTTTGATAATTTATTTTTTTAGTTTCTTGTTCAAATAATTAATAGAAAAAAATCAAAATCATAAGAACACGAAATATATTCAATAATAACGGCCGAATGAATTGTTGCCCAAGTTCGGAGCGAGCGCCGCCGATGCTGAGGTTCTACTCTTCGCAGGAGTAAACTTGTCCAAAAAACCAGGACTGATGCTGGTGACCCTGTCTTATCTGTATCGCCAAGGGACTCCCTGGTGTATTTGTCCAGTGCGACAAATCAGCGGGGCGAGTCTAACCACTAATGGTGAGGACTATTAAAAAAAAAATTCAGCAATTTAATTGAAGGAATAAATGTGTATTTGGTGATGGATTTAATGGAAGGCAATCTACATCACGTTATATACGGTGGTAATCAAATGGAAGACGATCTTATTGCTCATTTTTTACATCAAACTTTACGTGGACTTAGGGTATAAATTCTAATTATTTAATTAGAATTTTAATTTCTTTCCAAATATTATTTAAATTATTTAAAACTTATTACTTATAAATTATAAATTACTTATAAATTTTTTAAATATTTAATATATTTAAACCATTTAAAATTTATTACTTATAAAACCTTTTAAATATTTAAATATTTAATATATTTAAATTATTTAAAATTTATTACTTATAAAATAAAATTTATTAATTAATTTATTAATAAATTTATTAATTTATAAATTTATTAATTTATTTATTTATTAATTAAATTTATTAATTAATTTATTTATTATTAAATTAAATTTATTAATTAATTTATTAATTATTAATTAAATATTCTTTTAGCAAATTTACAAATTTTCAGTATTTACATCGAGCCGGAATCGCTCATAGGGATTTAAAACCGTCGAATTTACTTGTGAATAGCGATTGTCATTTACGAATCGCTGATTTTGGTATGGCAAAATTAGCAATGAGAGATCATATCGAAGAAGCTGAAGAACACTGCTTTTATATGACCCAACATATCGCTACTTTACCGTATAGGTTGCTCAGTTATTTTTTTCGATATTTTTAAATTTTTCATTTTTTATTTTTCAGATTTTTTATTTTTCATTTTAAATAAAAGCGAAGAAAAAGATAGTGGAAGATATTTGAAAAATCACTAAAAAATCATTTTTGTTCGTTTGAATATAAATAACAATTGAAAAAAATTCCTTGAAAATCACAAATTTAATAACATAAAATAAATCTAAAATTTTTTTTATCTTTGCAAATTTTTAAAAATTGAAAATTTTTTTTAAAAAATTTAATTTTAATATTTTGCAGTTTTGTTTTGAGAATTACAATTTAAGCGTTTCACTATTTTATACATTTAAAAAAATTACCTTTTTTAAACAAAAAAAAAAGAGTAAACACTCTTTATTAGCGATAGTACAAAAAATGTAAAAAAATTCCTATAGAAAAGCACGCAGGTATTTTTTCGATAAAAATGGCAACATCGTAATGAATTCTCATGCAAAAACGAATGCCAAGTGTTTTTTAGCGATGAAATTCTCGGAGAAAATTTGTTAAACACTATCTGTGGAAAGCTATAAAAAGAATATAGAATTGCCAAAATTTTCTTTTTTTTTCTAAATTTATTCTCTGAAATTATTAGACTTAAGAAAATTTAAGAGCTCCCGAATTACTATTCGTTATGCCAGAACATTCAACAGCGGTAGATATATGGGCTGTGGCTTGTATATTCGCTGAAATGATTATTCGACGTGAACTATTTCCGGGACGAAGTGTTTCAGGACAAATCAAAATTATTGTTACAATGCTTGGTGCACCATCTGCTAAAGTAAATATTTAATTACTCGATCATTTTAGAATCTTTTGCAAGAAAATTTCTTTTGAAAAGCAAGAATTTCTTTTTTTTTTTGTTTTTTTTTTCTTATCTAAACTTTTCATTTTTAAAAATGATAAATGATATATTTGAAAGATTTGCCTTATCATCCAGTTTTCTCTTCGGTAAAAAAAACTATATTTTTTTTGCACGCAGCCTAGAACAATGATTTAAGATCGAAATTTATGCAATTATTCAATTCTTTTTATCAATTTTGATAGATTATGAATCAAATTCGTTGTGAGCGAACGCGCCGATTAATCGAGAACTTTGCTGATTATGCAGTTAGACCATGGAATGAAATTTTAAAAGATAAAGCCGATTGCCCCGACACATTGGATTTAATCTCAAAGATGGCTGTGATGGATCCAGAAGATCGTATCGATGTGCATCAAGCGATAAATCATAATTATTTTAGAGAATATTATCCAAATTTTATGGCAGAAAGAGCATGTCCATTCAAAGTAGGGCATATTTCGATATCGCGACGTTGAAATTAAATTTAATATTTATTTTTCTCATCAATCATGATAATGATTAGATAAGACTCCAGTGAAAAACCTGAGATGCGATAGTGATTCGTCTCTATTGCTAAATGACTCAATGTAAAACTTCTAATCGTAGTACCATACTAATAATCAACGCATCTAATCTAGTCAGAAATGGTAAATGATAAGCTAATCACATTTTTTTTCCTATTTCAAAAAAATAAATTAATATACTCTTAAATCTCAAATGAAAACATATAATTAAAGGTTAAAATGGATATGGCAGCGATTGAATCATTGACGCACGAAGAATTGATTCAGTCATTGATAAATGATGTACGTTCAGCTGATGACGAACAATTCACCTCAGTTTCATCCGAATCATCGATACCTTCCATAACGTCTTCTTCAAAATGTTCCGGTGTACGTTTTTTCACTTCCTATGAATAAACGAAAAAAAATGTGCTTAAAACTCATTTATTTCTATTTATCATTGTTAAATAGGAAATAAATATTATATAAGGAAAATAAATATTCAACGCTTCACCAAAAATCGCATATAAAAGCCATATGTTGAGAAAATTGTTGGGGGCCAAGCTGTGCACCTATCGCCAAATGATTTCCTCGAAAAAAGAACATCTTTACCTTTAAATAATCTGCCAAATCAGTACCGATGAAAAAAAAGAATCAAATATTAAAATAAACAACAATATAAAGGAACAATTATATTAAGTAAAATATATCCTCAACTGTGCAAAATACATTTCAAAAACTGCATACAACCCAAGAAATTTTTTTTAACAATGCCAAAAGTGAAAAATGCAATAAAACGCAATAAGAAGCATTTCTAAGACAAATATTTCCGAATTTTATTTATTCGATAAAATTTTAGATATCCGACGAAAGCGCATTGACTGGTGATGACGCTTCACAAATAAGCCGAAATGTTGAAGAAAATTGTGAAATTCATATCACCGCTTTATAAATTATCTCTTATATTTCGCAAAAGAAGGAATTCCAAATATTTTAATATGGAACAATGAAAAAATATCTGTATTTAAAACAAAATGATAGGTATATCTCTCATAATTCTCAAATCTCTCTCTAAACACCATAAATATCAATGATTATCATTAATTCATAATAAATTGCTTTTTCATTTTTCTCGATTGGCTCTATATTCTTATCTTAAAAATATTTCAATTATCTGCCATTTATTTAAAAAAATATTGTCTTTCTTATTTTTTTTTGCAAAAAAAATACTTTCATGATTAGCTTACTGTGATTTTTTGTCCTCGTTTAAACTATGATTGCCATTATGATTTTTGTTTCATCCAAAGAGAAATATTTCTGCCCATCAGGAATTTCCTTGAATTTCTTTGAAAGATAAAAAAAATTTCCATAAATATCTGTAAGTCTCATTTTATTTCATTAATTAAAAGGTAATGATTAGTGATAATAATAATAACAATTAACCGCTGCCATTTTATTAAATTTTTTCCTAAATTTTTGTCTTTTTTTCGAAGAATTCATTTCATTTCACTTATATTTGGATTGCTTTAAATTATTGATTTGTTTCCTTTATTCCGTAAAAAAAAGAGATTTAATATTAGTTTGAAAAATTTGTAATAAAATTTTTGAATTAAAAAAATGTGAATAGAACGAATAAAAATTGAGAATTGATCAAATAAAAAAAGTGAAAAAAAAGAAAAATTTACCAAAATAATTCGATTTTTTTTAAGACACTCATTTCATCGATTTCGAAAACGAAAAATTTATTCACCACTAAAACGACGATTTACATTTTATAAACAATAAAATAAATAAAACATTTCTATAATTTTTAATCGATAAAAAATGAATCTTTTGAGAAATGCGAAAATAATAAAAAAAAATACAATAAAAGCAACGAGATTAGTTTCATAATTGCACAATTTTATAAAAATGAAATGGAAAATAATAATATTGCAATAATAATAATAAAAATAAATAATAAAAAAGAATTAAAGAATTAAAATTAAAATTAATAATTAAAAAAGGTTAACTTAATAAAACTAAGTTAACTCAGCGCCGAAAGAATTTTTTACAATGAGAAACATTTTTACTGCAACCGAACAGCAATAAATGATAGAAATAGATTAAATAATCCTACCCATCTGATCTGATTGTTAGCATTTCTATGCTGCAGTTGAGTTGCGGATTTTAGCGACTAAATATGGAAAAGTTATTGACTTCTTTTTTAAGTAACTATTGGAAACGGATTTTGTTTGGAATTAGGATATGAAGCAAACTTTGTCCAAAGTTTGGTCCACATAGGGAAATGAATTTTGTCCAAAGTTTGGTCCAAGTGGGGAAATGAATTTTGTCCAAAGTTTGGTCCAAATTACATTTTATTAATTATTATTTGTAGTATATTTTAATTGTTTAATTGTTTGTGTCATTTATTATTTTGTTTTACAAATTACGTTCTATTCAATGAAATTGAAAATTTTATTAAAAAAAAGAAAAAAAACAAATATTTCCAATTATTTTAGTAATTTTTAGTTGTAAGTAAAATGCAACGAAATTTGGAAGATTTTGGCGACGAATTTGACGAGGAGATTCATCCATTACCGCCTTATAATACATATGAATTTATTAGTGATTATAAATGGTTTTCTTCAGTTATTATCGCTTTATTAGCAATCGCTTCTATATATTTGTTTATAAAATTCAAATATTACAGAAACAATAGCGAAAGTAATTTTTATTTTATTAAAATTAGAATTCCATTTTTTTTATCAAAAAAAATCTCTCAAGAAAAGTGAAATTTATTATTAAAATTAACATTTTTTTTTAATGGCAAATATTTTTATTTATTGGTTTTTTGAAATAAAAATTAAAATTATTTATTTAAGATTCATATAAAAATATTTTGGAGAATGGAATGTTTGATTTCTCGTTGCTTCAAAAAATTAAACGTTTATCAAATGTGCGAAAGGCGAGTTCAAATTTAGATTTCTCGTCAAACGTTAGTTTTTATTGCTTAATTATTTTTAAAGAAGATTTCGTATCACTTAAAAAATTACTTGTTAGTGTTTCTTTTTTTCAAGGAGTGCTCACCATTTCTGGTTGAACTCGCTCCGTTGGCCCGCTAGCTCGGGCACGATAAATAACAGTGGGGAGTTAAATAAATTATCATACAGAAAATTTGAGCGTAATTTCTTCCTATGAAAAAGAAAAGAAAACGGAAATGCGGTCTAGTAGGGCTGCGGATTGCATTTTGTAGGACACCGATTATTATGTTATCTTCAGGGGTTTTCATTATTTTTGATTCCCAGCATTTTTCCCCATGCACAGACCTAGAAAATAGTAAAATTTAAGAATTATTTATTACTTTATTACTTAAAAGGAAAAATATTTAAGAAATCAAGTGGTAATATGGATAGTGATGATGAGATTGTTTCCAATGATGCTGATGTTGATGGATGTATCGACGAAAATACAACAAAATCTCCTCTCAAAACGCAGTCGGCAGCTAATGCAAGTAAGTATTTATAATACAATTATAGCATATATATTTGTATGTATAATTATACTATACTACATTTATAATATCTGTTTACACTTATTATACTATACTATATACATATATATATTTATAGTATTATTATAGTACATACAATAGTTATCCTAATGTATAAATTTTTTTGTCTCAATATGCCTTTTGTATACTCTAATATATAGGGTGAGAATATTTCAAGATAACTAAATAATTGATTGGACCAACTGTTGAAATAGCTAACATTTCAAAATACTTAAGCTGGGATAGTTATTTTGGATTTTTGATTGTTAATCTTGAATGGCAAATTTCATAGAAGAAAATAAAAACGACATGTGGAATTATCTTGGATGAAAAAAGTTATAAAGATAATAGCATTTTCTTGCCTTATGCGACGCTTTTATACGCCGCCATTTGTAGTGCCAAATTATTTTCAATGCATAATAAGAAAGCTTGCAGATGATGCCAATAGAGAATTTACAAAAGATGAGAAAAGTGAAGAGGAAGGAGTTCAAAATGAAGAGGTTTCTTTTTTATTGAATGAAAGTTAGGCAAAAAACGCCATAAAATTTATTTATTGATTAATTTATTTATTTTATTTATTGAAATTTATTCCAGAAAAATCAAGCACATAATTTATAATCTGTACTTTTAATTTCTATACCTTTGAAGTTTTTGAAATTTCGATGAATTTCAAGATTTATTTAAAGGAAAACATAGTCGACAACAGAAAAGATGGTTTAAATGATTCTGATATTCCTTTCACAAATATGAAATCAAATGTTATCGGCGAATTTAGGAATAAAGCGAAAGATATCGAAAATTCAATGACAGCTGAACAGTGGCAAGAGGTTTGGTTTCTTCTTCGGATAGCATAAATTATTCCTGTTTTGCCTTTTTCATTTACATTCAAAAATAGCACATTGATAATTTAACAAATTAGTTTCTGTTACAACAGTTGCAAAATTAATATAATCAATAATGCCAGTTAATTATATTAATTCAGTTATAATTTATGAAAATTCAATCATTTTAATGTAGTATGTTTGGCTTTGGGGGAAATTTGTGATTTTGAATTTGTGATTCTTAAAATTTTCATATTTTATATTCATTGAAAGTCTTGTTCATTTTTCATCATTTTTTGAATCGAATAAACCTAAAATGCGGAATGAAAAAATTAAAAATTACATGATTGATTTGTAAATATTTGTATTCTAGGAATACGCCGTTCGTGCGCAGCAGTTGGAATCAATTTTTGCTTTAATGATGGAAGATAAAACAAAATATGGATTGGAAAGTAAAGAGGAGCTTTTAGAACAAATGAAACTTTATGCGTAATTTATTTCATAAAAAATATCGAACCCTATGATGATTTAACAATTTTTTTTGAAATTTTGAAATTTTTTTAATTACTAGGATTCTTAAAGCATGATTTGTATTAAATGTATTCAAGTCAATTGATACAAGTCAATTGAATTGATTTATATTAAATTATATTAAAATTATTTTGAAAAAATTAAGAGGAATGAATTTCATTTCAAAGAAAATTGCATTGTGCATGGTAAAAACAAGGATCAGTTATTTTTTTGAAGTTTTTTTAGATTTTTGACAGAATATAAAATTTTATTTTAATATAAATTTCGATTTTCTGTTATTGATTTTTGTTATCGAAAATCATTAGTAAAACAAATAGAAATAATTCAATTGAACTAAATTTTATATGAATTAAAAGATTTCTTAGAAAGCAAAAAGCATAATATCTGTTTCGGAACACTAAAATTTTTGCTATATTTTTTATTCTTAAAATTATTGTTCTTTTATATTTTTATAATTTATAATTTGTGTAGATTTGAATATTTTAGTTTTCTTCAAATATTCGTTATCGTAATCATTGTTTATAGTTGTATCTTTCAGTGATTCTACGATCCTTACTGATAAAGATTAGCGACTGCAAATGTGGTATTTTTTTATTCATGTATACATTGAATATTTGTATTCTATTTAATTTGGACTATCCTCACCGATTATTTGCATAGTTTATCGTTTTTATTATATAAAAATATATTATTATATTATTATTGTATGTTCGTAAGTCATCTTAGTTTGTGTACAGTTGTCATTTTTTTCATTGTACATTATCGTGTATAATGTTAGTTTTTTATTCAGATAAAATTCCCTATTTTATAATCGTTCATTCACTCTTACAATTAAGTTTTTTCCTTCTCAATAAACATAATATAAAATATAAAAAGTCGTTTCAATAGATTCATGAATTTTTCATAATTTTTTGCTTGCAAATAGGTCACAATAAAAAATTAGAAAAAATAAAATTTTTATTTAAATATTATAAACAAAATATTCGCGGAAAATAAAAATTCAGCTAAAACGAAAAATCATATACAAAAAAAAACGATCATTAACAATCATTCTAATTATTTAAAAAAAGCTTTTCATAAAAATTTTATGAAAACTATGTTAGAAAAAATGAGATGCAACGGCAGCATACTAACATCAAAAAAAAAATTTTTTTTGGACGGTAAGTTAGTTCTTAAAAGCAAATCTAATATAAAAAGCAAACAACTACAAAGTTAGGCTTAAGCACTTTTTTTTTAAACAAATTAAACTAAGTTAAAACGAAAATTCATGGAATAATTCAAAAAATTTTCGAATTTTAGAAAAAAATTCACTCAAGAATTTTCCAAATCTTATTAGAATATAAAATAAAAATAAACTAAACAAGATCTGAATTAGGTTAAAGGACTCGGAAAATTCTTTAAATAAAATTTATTGTTTATTATCGAAAAAAGAATATGTTGGGTTCTCATATCCATTCACTTGCATACAATTCAAATGTTTTTCTTCGGGAGTGCAAACATCCACCTAAAATTATAAATATAATAACAAAGCATTGTAAAAAAATGCAAAAGAAAGAAATAAAAGAATAAATGAAATGGAATTACTTCAATAAAACCCTGATGTACCGAACGCTTACGCATCATTATATAACCGATTAGAACAAAAATTATTGAAGTTGTTGCAGCCAGAATTATAATCAAATGTGTAATATTGCCAAAATTCGAAGTGTAATAATGAACTACATCAACCTAAAAAAAAAAAAAAATTTCATATTTGCATTAAAACTATATTTGCATTAATTATTGACTTTAAAATTATTATTTACTTATAATTTCAAGAAAGAATTAAGAAACATGAAACATGGATGCTTGATTCCATCAAACAGTGAAGCTTGGAAAATCAAAAATAATGGGTTTTGGAGAAAAAACTTTTAGGAAAAGATATCTTACTTTATCATGCACAAGAGGTGAGTGTTTAGCATAAGACTGGTGAGCTGACGATAATTCAAGCAAATGATTTGGGACTGAATCGACTTCAATGCGCAATTCTTTTTTATTTGAATTTTTATTGTCAATTATACCAGCGATGTTATCTTCACTTTCATCAGCACTATCATCATCATCATCAGCATCATCATCCTCTTCTCCAATATTCTGTAATTTGCACCAAGCTTAGTTATACTCATTAATGAATGTGACGTGATTTTAATAAAATGATTTGTAAGATAAAAGAAAAAATTTGGCATTAAGCAAAAAATTACCTGAACATTTATTATTGGATCTTGAATCTTCTTTAGCGGATTCCTTTGCCTTATTTTTTCAATTACAACTTTTGGTTGTTGTTTCGAGTAGATTTCTGCACTTTCAGATTTGTCTGCAGAATCATCGTCATCAATGAACAATTTTTTTGGCTGAAAATTCCTAGTATTTAAATTTATAATAATTGAAAAAATTACATGTGATACCTAATTATATTATTACAGAATATATATATATATATTTACAGAATAAACCTTATTCCTACAATTTCAAAATATTACCGTTGGAGAGATGTTTGTTGTTGGCGAAGCAATAGTTCTTTTCGTTGAAGGTTTGTAATTATGAAGGCGATCATATGAATCCTATAAAAATTTTTATTTAGGATATTTAAGAACATTTCATGAAAAATAATTACATGGTACAATCTAAAAAATTCAGATTTATGAGCTCGGAAACAAAAAATATGCTATTCAGTTTTCCCTAAAAATAATAAATTTCCCATTTCAATCAACTAGGAAAAGATAAAGCCAAACCTTGTAAAACTTTATCAATTTAGCATTTTGTTCATCTCCACCAATTAATATGAATTTTTCATCAGTTATTTCAGGCGTATTTTCCCGCCTGTATTCCGACCAAAATTCAACTGGAAATAATATGAAATCATTTATTATGAAAAAAATTTGAAATAATTGGAAATAACTGAAACGCTGGGTACACCGATGGCTGGTAAAATCAATGCTCAGACTGGGATCCAACACACCACTCTTCATTCGCCTAAGAGAAAAAAACAAAAGGAAAGTAGAATGAATCAGTGGGTTGAGGTTTCCCTAGAAGTAAACCAGTCCAAGAATCCGGGTAGTATTGGCGATTCACCTGCACTTCTATCACCAAGGGACCGCCTAACATATTTATCTAGTCCGACAACCCAGCGCAGCGAGTCTAACCAATTATAATAACTGCTCTTTAAAAAAAGGATTGAAAAGATGTAATTATATTACGAGCTATTGGACGAATTTGCTTTTCTAGTTCAGGAAAATCTCGAAGCATTGCAAGAGTGCCATTTATACGTAAGTCAATATAACGCAACTGATGAGCGAGTATTTTTTCATAAACATCAGCTTCATCCTAATAATAACATAAATTAATACTAACAATATTAGTCTCAAAGGGTTTTCAGTTATTTCAATCTTTATAAGCAAACTTAATTTTTAAAATGACAACAATAATTTCAACAAAATATTTACGATTCTGATCTGAAAATAATTTCAAAACACCCACAAAATCTGAAATATAAAAGAAGAAAATATTTTAAGAAACTAAAGAAAAACTCGATCAGTTCGAAGAAGATGTCGATATCGATTGATCATATGCATTCGATCCTTTTCTTCTGATCGAATATATATCTAAAAATTAAAATAAAACCTATTAAAATAAAATAAATTAAAATAAAATAAAACTAAAAATATTTCGAAAAAAAATTGTTTTGCCATTTATTTTCTGCTTTGCTTATTCTTTAATCTAATATTACGAATGAAATGCGCGGAAACAGCCGTTGATAATTTAATTTTAAATAAAAAATAAATTGTCAAAATTCGCTCTTGCAAAAAAAAATCAAAACTAAATATTCAAAAGAATTTGAAGCATACTTTCAAAGTTTTCAAAATTTTATGTTTATTATTCTTGCCAACCTGAACAGCCAATGCAGTACGATAGTCATGGGTAGCCTAAAAAAAATAAGAATTTTTCTGTCCATCTACTATCTACTATCTTTTATCTAATATGAATATGTCAAATGATAAGTACAAAATATTTTTACTTGACGTTTTTTTTCATTCAAATGTGCTTGTACGCGCTCTTCATGAACGTCTTCTAATTGCTTCTTCTGTTCCTTATTTTCTTCTTCAAGAGACGCAACCTATATTGGAAAAATTCAACAGGAAAATGTACTTTTAACAATGCTTAATCGAATTATGTTAGACCTTGAAATAAATTTTAAAAACCTGTTTACAAAGATGTAAATAATTGAAAAAATAAATGAAAAAACCGTTTTCTGGAATCGTAGGGACATTTCCTTCTTGAAAACTTCAGCACCTTTCGGATCTTTTTTCTTCATATTTTCGTACCTGTTTTCTAGTTCGGCTAATTCACGCATTACCTTAAATCCTTTTAGTTATAACCACCCTTTCCCCTTTGGTTTAAAAATTGAAAAAAAATGCTACGCAAAAAGACCTTATTTATTTTCGCACGATGTCGTTTTTCTAGGCGTTGCTGAGCATCTTTAAAATGTTCATGTTCGTTCGCAGGATCAGAAATTTTATAATATGGATCTTGGTAATTATCTCTGGTATTATCTGAAATTGCCTTATCCAAATCCTCAATCAAAAGAAACGAAAAGAACCATTGTTAATTAATAATTAACAGTCATTATTAATTAATAATGGCTTTATATTTACCAGTTTTGCCAATAAATAATTCTAACAGATTAACAAATGAATAAAAACTGCGATGATTAGACATAATATAAAAATATAAAAATAATATAAAAGAAAATATAAAAACGCAATAAAATATTGGGTTCGAAAAAGATTTATAGGAATTCATAAGAAAAAATTTTTCGATAAATCGATAATAAATGACGAAATTATACCTAAAGTAAAGCTATTTATTTTTTTGATCCATTTCAAACACTCTTGTACGCAGAATTTAAACCATATTTCATTTGAACTTTGCCTTGATTTATTCATTTCACCTTTATTTTTTTACGATTATTGAAAAAATCTTGACAATTAAAAAAACCTGCAGCCATGGTGCCATCGTCATGATCATCGCTGTAATCATCATCATATTCATCTTCATCGTCTTCTTCTTCATCATCCTCATCTTCATCGATATCAACTTTATCACTTTTAGTGATTTTACTATCAATCAATTTACTATCAATACTTGTTTGATCATTGTGATTCTGTTTTTTATCGATATTGACTTTACTTCCATCATCTAAATTTTCAAAAAATTCCATCATCTAAATTTTCAATAAATCAGAAAATTCCAATCATTAACGTACGAATAAATAAACGAACCGACAATATATTTATCAGCTGGACAACAAACAAATTCAACTCCAGTAAACATATCAAGCCCACATGGTTCGAGCAATGAATATGAGTGTAATGCTGATTGCTTATTTACGAGAATCTAAACACGAATTGCTTATTCATAAAATAAAATGATTAAGATAAGTGTAATAATTTTTCGAAGCTAACAATTACCACTAAAACTTCATCCAAAAATTCAATTATACATTCCAATTATTCACATTTTAAAAGATTAGAGTACCTTTGAAGTGCACTTTTTATCGGCAACATTTTTCCAATAATCAGGCCCTTCACATTTTCTTGAATGGCTATCATGCAAAAATCGACAATTTTGAGGCACTTGAAGCGCCTCCGATTGGAATTCACCAACTAAAATATTTTTTTTTTCAATTTTGCGCTTCAACATAATAATAAAAATAAATAATTTATTTTTCGAAAAATTTTTCGAAATTTGATTCACTTATAAAAACAAGTCATTTGATTCAGAAGACAAACTATTTTAAAATATGAATCATATGAAACACAATAAAACGAATTTAATTGTCTCAATGATCCATAAAATAAATCTTTTTTTATTAAAATCGATTGCAATTCAATATTCAAGCATTTTCAACTAATAAACTAACTGATTAAGCAGAAGGATGATCAAATAGTATATTGCTTTATTCTATCAACAAATAAAGCCAGCCAAATCAGAAATGGTATGTGAAAATTCGAGAAAAAAGAATGTGATTAAGTTGAAACCTTGGAACTAAAGAACCAGTTGGGGACAGAGGTGCTTGTGATCTCAGCTGAATTCCACTTTAACTGATAGAACTATTCCTCAAAAAAGATTACAATTTGACCTATGCTGTTCACCTTTATTTAATTATTGACTTATTTAGAGATATGAAAAAACTTAAATTTTACAAATAAAATTCCAAAAGAACTTCAAATTATAAGCCTCAACAGAAAAGCTTAGCATTTTAAAAGATTTTTCAGTAAAAAGCCTCTAATAATAAATCCTCTAAAATCCTCACTGGTTTTTTTAACGCTATGGCTTTTCGCTTTTCTTAAATAAATAATATTTCAACAGCTATGTCAACTATTAATCCACAATAAAAAATAATAAAATTCAGAGAAAAAAAGAAACGAACCAATGCAACGATATGGTTGAACCGTAAATGTCCATTTACATGGAAATCCTTCTTCATGGCACCATGATGAAATCTTTACATTATGCTTGTATTCAACGATATTATAAATATCCAATTTTGGATAAACCTTAAAATATTTTTATAAATATACTTTTTTATAAATTTACTTTTTATAAATATTTTTCCGTTTTAATATTCGAAATTTTTTTTAATCAGAATTTCTCACAGAGCCATTTTCGATAATTTTTCAATTCATTTCAATTTTTCCTAAAAAAAAAAAGAAAAAATTCAGTCTAGACATAAAATTTAATAATCGTCCATAAAAGTTTTAAAAATTTTTTATTTCTCTATAATAAAATTTGATATTTCTTATTAATTTTCTTAATTAACTTTGTTTTAACTTTCTTTTTTTTATCGAAAAACGAACCTTTCGGCAATATTTAAGTATATCCAGTTTACCACTTAAACAAGTCGCATATTTATTTTTATCAGTAATCCATTCACCATTTTCTGATAAAAACTTATTTCGATAACCACATTTAAATGCGATTAAAGGAAGAAATTTTTCCACTTTTTTCTCTTCATTTATATTCTATAAATTATTTTTGAAATTAAAAAAAAAAAGACAATTTCAAATAAAAAATTTGGATGATATTTTAGAATATAAAAACAATTTAAACGACAAAATATTAAAAATAATTTAAATGACATTTCAAATAATGAAAAATAATTTAAATGACATTTTAAACTAGAAAAATAATCTGAATGATATTTTAAAAAAATAGAAAAAAATTTAAATGATATTTCTAAATATGCAAAACAAAAACAAATTATTTTGTAATTATTATGTTATATAAAAATTACTTTGCATTAAAAAAACAAAATAATTAAAAAGAAAAAATGAAAATATTTAAAAATTGCATTTTAGCCATCATTATTATTATTATTTCCAGGCTGTGGTACTAGCGATTCATTTATATTTCTATCACTAAATTACTTCCTCGAAACAATTTCTAATCGCCATACTAAAAACCAGTGAAACCAGAAAATTCAACCAAAAATGGTGGAAGCCAATCAAACATTTTATTCGTAAATTCATCTTTTCTGGAAAATTTCTGGAAAATTTTTCACAATTTTTAGATCATTAAAATCAAAATTAAATTTAAAAAATTTTAAAAAATTAACCAAATCAATTGGCGTTGCATCGTATAACAATTGAAAAATCAAACATATTTTCAATATAAGTAAACTACCCGAAAGCATTTTTTTTTAGCTTTTTTTATGTCTGAAATAAATTAAAATTAATCATAAAAAATTAAAATAAAAAAGAAGAAATATGATGCGCAGATTTATTATTTATTTATTTAATTGAAATCATTAAAAATTAGTTATTTTTTATATTAAAAAAACCTGTTATTTGCTGGAAAAAAAAACGAGAAATATAAATCGATTTGGTAAAAAAATTTTTTAATTATTATTATAAAAATTCAATTCGATGACTTTTTTCTATCTATCCTCCCCTATCAGTTTGAAAGAAAATCCTCTCAAAATTCCAGGATTCCAGGTCGAATCTGATTAATCCGAAAGTCATCAAGTCAAATCAAGTATAGATAACCTACGGTACAATCATCGACAGATGACACCATGTGTCACCACCACACATGGCCACACTCAGAACATAAGCACTTGTCGGCTAACTTCAGAGATGACCTCAAGTCGCCTATTTATAACTGCAAAAGGTCAATGTCAATGGTTAGGTGATCAATAGTTCTAATTTTAACCGAGGTCAAAGGTCAACGCAGCAAGAAATTTAAATTCAAATGAGAACACAAATGAAAATGAGAACTAAAATTATACTATAAATAATAATAAGGAATCATTCAAATATTGATAAGAACAAAGAAGAAAATTCAATCATTCAATCAATAAAGGTTGTATTGTAAAAATTGCAAATGTGTAAAGCGTGCAGCGCAAGCAAATATAATTTGCAAGAAGCACGCAAGAAAAAACTGTGCAACGCGTGCAACGCCAACCATTTGCAATAATAGAAACTTATACGACTAATGCAACATGCAAATCGTGCAACGCAAAAATGCATTGATTTTATGGTCTCCGTTCCTTATCGATTATATGTAATATTTCTCTCGTCTAATAGAATTCATTAAATATTCTTTAATTTTCTTCCTTTCTCCAATTCTCTCCATTTTACGAGTTCTTTAAACATGATTTTTTTCTCTGCGAGTATATTCAAATGTATATGAGTATGTCACATGGTAAATGTTGAGTGAATCGATGGTGTACACTGATGGTACTCGGTGCATTGTTCTTTGAGTCGATGGTGCTTGGTGCAACGTTCATTGAGTCGATGCTACTCGGTGAATTTATCCATTGTTTTGACGGTAATTTATTATTTTTACAAAAAAAAATTAACGAAAACGAAAACGAAAAGCGGAAATGCACTCATTTTGAAAAAAAAAAAAAATGCATGAAAAATTAATGATAATTCGATTAATTAATTATTAATGAATTAGTAAAATTAAAATTTAATAAATAATAAATTTAATAAATATTAATAAAATAATAATAAATAATAATTTAATAAAAATAATAAATAAATATATACAATTACAATAATAAAATTATTAGAAATTAATTGCAACTTGCATAAATAATAAAAATAAAAATAATAAATAGTTTTTGAGAGAAGCAACAGACAGATTTCATGCTTGGCTTTTATTAGTGGCGAGTATTTTGGGCTTCGCAGCCAGTTGAGAAACACAAATAAGTATAATAAAGATCCACTAGAATAGGCGACTAGCACGGTATTCGCCTGTGGTACTTACCGAATTAAAGTAGGACTCAATCATTTTTTGAAAAAATGAAAAGCAAATTAAGAAAAATTCAATTTTCAAAATAGCTTGGCTTAATTTTTCCATAAATCGAAAAAATTTTCGTTTAAAAATTAGTCGAAAAAAAGAAATTTGAATTTTTTCTTTCTAATTTATTAAAAAAAGATAAATTTTTTCGCATATAGAAAAGCACTAATTTATTTATTTTATTATATTAATTTATTTTATTATTTTGGAAAAAATTTATTTATAACAAAATTTATTGCCATAATTTATGTAATTAAAAATTTAGATGAACGAGCGTTTCTCTATACGAGCGAATTAGTTGATTCGCTATAGGCGAAAAGCCTAAGTCTTCGATTTTGCGATATAATTCAATTACCAATCATCAAGTAAATTTGCATGAATTTAACTGTCCCACGCCAAATGAAAAAGCCTTAGATAATACGAGACGAGACGACTTGGCGATTTTTTTGCATCGATATTTTCCAGAAAAGATGATTAACGAACGATTAATGGCATGCATTGAACAACTGATATCGCGTTGGATTGGCAATTTGTTGATATGGGCATAGCCGAGTGATATAATTGCTTCAGTCAGTACTGTGTATCCTGAATTCGATTTTCCGGCCGGCCCTTTTGAGGGGCAAATAGTTAGTAAAAAAAGGTAGGTGATGCTGGTGACTTGCTTGTAATTCTGCAGTCGGATGAGACCTGAGAACTATTTGCTACCATTAACGGCTAAAGGAGTTTTCCTAAATTTATACAGTTCTCTCATAATTAAAAATTTTAGAATTAGGTTTAATTATTATTTATTATTATAAAATATTATAAAGTATTATAGAATTATTATATCAAATATTATAATAAATTTATAATATTATTTCATAATAATAATAATTATAACATTTTAATTATTAATATTATTCTTTTTTTAAATATTATTCTTATTCTTAATGTTCTTATTAAATATTATTTGTTATTATTGTTATTAATTCAAATACCGTTCGGAAATTAATTAATTATGTAAATCGCATGAATTAATTACCCAAGTTTGAGGAACAAACCTTTCCTTATGGAACTTCGTTCAGAAAAAACTCCGTAAGTATATTTTTTGAATGAACCAAAAATTCACATTAAAATCTTTTAAAAAAATCAAATATATCAAATTTCAAAGAAATACAACGCTATTCTACAAATGAAATCCAAATGAATGTCCTCGTTAATCGAATTGGTTCGATATGACAAAGACAAAAGTTAGAGGCGATTTTATGAAATGGGTGTGTGTATGTGTGGTGGCGGGGGGGGGGGGGGGGGGGGGGGGGGGGGGGGGGGGGGGGGGGGGGGGGGGGGGGGGGGGGGGGGGGGAGTGGAGGGGGTGATCGATGGACATATTGAAACGAAACTAAAATTTTGGCCCTCCACAAATCTCGAATGATTGTTGTTCGAGGTCAATTAACTGTATGGACCATAATGGGCGGTGTATCGGTGCTTTATCGGTACTGTCTGGACCATAGGGGATATTGCTCAATACTAAGGTCCGATTCCCCGCAGAAGTAAACCTGTCCAAAAATCCGAGTGATGCTGGCGACTTACCTGTATTTCTATTGCCAAGGGGCATATTTCTCCCATGCGACAAGCCAGCGGAGCGAGTTTAACCAGTAATGAAAATTCTTTAAAAAAAAACAGCAGGGAGCGTAATCGGTACCTTATCGATACTGTATGGACCATAAATGGTGCTGCAGAGACGCTGATTATAGGTTAAATTCATTTCCCTATGAGCCTTCAACTATTATAACATTTAAATATTAAAGTGTTTCCAATAAATTTATAGAAATATGTGCCGTTGATTATTGGTGTTTGCGATTCATCGTCTACGGTATTGCATTTATTTCGAAAATCATTTGTTATTTTCATTCCTGTTAAGATGAAATTCACCGTAATTTCACCTTAAATTCACCTTAAATAACGCTTTAAATATTTGAGACATTGTTTGACTTATTTAAAAGAATTTGTTGATCGAGGACGGATAAGGCTGGCGGTGACGACTAAGACCGCTGTTACGTCTCTTCTTTACGACGATTTCCAGCCAATATCATTTATCATATCAACATGGTGCACACTCGTCCTCTACGGTGAAACAATTCTCAATATTGGTTCCACATAAAAGTCGGTTCGATTGCTAAATCGCAGCCACAACTGGAAACGAAGCGGGCAATGTGGTGACGCCAAAAAGGTATATGATGGTGAGGTGGTGTGGTGGAAAGTTATGAGAATGTGCGATACCTTGAAGAAGGGGATCTAATGAAAAAGTCCTAAGGGGATTCAAAGAGTTAGGGAATTTCAAGAGAAGTAAATATGGCGTTGAACCAATAGGATATACTCATTTCATTTTTAGTAGTTTTTTTTTCTATGATCGTGGCAGTATGATAATTTTTATGTTTAAAATTTATTTAGATTGGAATTTTTAACTTTGAAATTGGTTCATCGTACTTATATTTTTGCTTCTCTTATCCTCTAATAAGATTCTTTTGCTTTGGTTCTTTGGAACCAAAAAACAGGTCATTCCTATCAGATAAACCTTCAGGTATGAGATAAGAACTGTTGCATTGCCATTCACTGAACCATTCTATCCCTACTAAATTTATTCACACTAAAATACAAATTAAAATTTTTGCTATTTGCTTTTTTCTTCTTCCATCTCCTTTTAGACCTTTTAGACCTTTTAGAATTCAGTTATATAAAACTTATAGCAGAGTAAAACGTATAATATAGTTTTCTTTTTAGAGAACTGACGAGAACTGAAATTTGTAAACTCAGTTCACGGCACTACTGATTTTTTACTTCACGAAAATCTAGCAATTTGTAAAAACATTGCTTAGCAAATTGGTCTAAAATGAAAGAGAGCAATCGGCTTTTTTTTGCTGGAATATAAGAAATTGGAAATGATCTTATCACTTGTGATAGGAAGTGATTAGTTTTATTTGATTAGTTTTATTTTTTAAAATTTTTTAAAATTCAATATTTAATTTCTTATTTTTCGCACTTTTAGTAAATTCTGTTCACAAGTTAACGCCAGTTCGATTCCTTTTCTTCGATCTGCGGTCGATAGCTATTAATCTCGCTATCGATTGTGAGCGGTCGGGTCAATAACTGCTCTGCAGTTCGGAAATTAATATTCGTTGCCTACCACGCAGATAGAAACCATCTGTTTTGTAAGGGCAATAATAGATTGATTGTATCGCTGTAGGTTTAGATGGAACCTTTGTCCACAGCTATAGTCTTGGGTGACTAAACCTTAATGTACAACGAAAAGTTTGAATAATTATGAAAAGTTATTATGCGAGACTCGACCGCATTCATAATGTAAAATAAAATTCAGCGTTAAAATTTGTAGTGGGGTGGTGGTGGGGAGGGAGCAGGAATGTTTTATTTCATTCCTGCTTGTGCCTGTGAAATCGTTTATTAATTTGGCAATCATTTTTTTGATATATTGGATATTGGAATATATGCTTGTTCTAATTAAACTAATGATTGACAGGTCATGGTTTAATTTCGGGTTATTTCGGGTCATTCGGCGACATCGTTATTGTAAGGTCATACTTCTAGTCTATATGTTTACCATATGTCCTGATGACAGCGCTCCGTCATTTTCATCTCTTTACTACCATTCGACCACATTTCTCTAACTAATGTAGGACCATACTACAGTTATCTATGCACCACTATGCTTTCGTGAGGGAAATGGAGTGGACTCTATTTTTCGCATTGTTATTGTGGCGATTAATATAGAGCACTTGTTGACATATTAGCAAGGACATTTATTTTGCCTTTCTTATTTTCTTATTTTTTTATTTTATTTTATTATTATTTATATTATTATTTATTATTTTATTTTATTTTATTATTATTTAGTTTATTTTTTGAGATTACGATTTGAGCGCGCTATATATATAACGCTGTGGGCCATCCCATAAATTATTTTTGTAGCTTGTGGTGTCGCAAATCGCGAACAAAAAATATAAAAAAATAAATTCTCAAATAATTGCTGTGAATCAGCTTACTAATTTCAAATTCTCACAATTTTTTCATGTGTTTTTTTCTATCTTGATTTTCCGCATTCTTTTTTATTTCAGAAGGAACAGAATTGATTAAAGACCAAATAAAAGCGTAGATGTGGCTGCAATTTTGTATCGATTCTTTTCCTTTTTGGGAAACAATTTATTGTTTCATTTGTGGTGGTAGGTGAGCGGTGGGGGGCTGGTAATTAAGGTATTTATTGTTCGATTTATACTTATTTGGTGTGTTGTTTTGTTGTTTTTGTTTACGTCATTGGTTATATTATAATATAATATATATCGTTATCTAATATCATTGTTGTAATTATATTGTTATCTAAATAAAAATTTAATTACCCAAATTTGGAGTACGCGGCAACGATCGAGTTACGATTACGATACCTTTTTTAATGGAAAGAAATAATGACTTCGAAATTTAAATGCTACGCAATTCTTTTTTTCGTTACATTTATATACCAAAGAAATTGATATAGCATGAGAAATATTTCATCTTGATGCGTATCTCGTATTTTTATTGCCGTAATCAGGTAATTGTAGTTTTTTGTGTGCAATTGCTTAATCATTTTGCATGCCATTCCCATTAAAAATGCCTTTTTTTGTAAACGAAGCCATATATATGCACGTGAATTCGGCTGGCTTGGACTTGTTTTTTTCGTTGTTGATGCGAAGTTGTTATTTATGGGATTTTCTTCGTTGGGTTATCTTCTTTGTTGTTTGAAATTGTTTTTATAGCGTTTTCTTTCGACTTAATTTTGTGTGTGACAATTCCTTCACTATTCCCTTCTTTTATTATTAGTATATATATAATCCGTTTTTACAACTTACGTTATAATAGATTTAATTACCCAAGTTTGAGAAGTTTAATCCTTCTCGGCCTTCTTGGGTAGGACAATAAACAGTTGGATCATCAATTGGTAAATCGTATTCCTCCCGGAGTGAAGATTCGTCTGTCCAACATCTTATTCTAATCACCGTCAATTCATTCTCTCTCAAATCTCTCCTCATCGACAAATATGGCATCGAGGTCCAGTGCGCCAATGGAGAACACCTTCTTCGTTTTGCTGAAGAATATGAACTTTTTGTTACTAATACATGCTTTCGGCATCGGAGAGAGTCACCTGGAATTCTCCGAACAACCAATATTTCAACCAGACTGTTATATATCTTAGTCAGTCGTTGGAAAAGTTCCGTACTAGATAATAGATAATTGTTCCTATCGTGGTGCTGAAAAGGTATCAACCTTTATGAATCTGATTATGATTCGAGACGAATTTCGCATAAAATTGATAACTGGCAAGAAAGAATGTCCCTAATGATCTTTCAACTATCTTAAACCAAAAGATTCGTGGATAATGAGGGCATTTCAAGCCGAATTATTGAAGCATCTCAGTGGTATAAATATCAATTTTCTGGAACGGCGGATGAATATTGACCCCAATTAAAAGAATGTCTCCGAAAGTCAGTCACCTTCATTCTGGGACCAGCACTTATTTGGATATCGAAAGTAATTGCCCAACCGCTTTCGAAAAATTACGAAAGCAGCACGGTGGAACAGAAATCACTATTGGAGCGATGTGGCCTTAGAGACGATGATTCAATTAAGTGATAATAGGAAATTATTCGGCTTTCTTCACAAAGCAATCGCTATAGGATCGCTTCATTTCGCAATAGCAAAAAATATCTTATAAGAAATAAAACAAAAAAGTACTATTCTGAACAGTTCTTAATCGTCGTTATGTATTCGATTCGAATTTTCGCCAGATAATTTCTCGGGTAATTTTATTATGGCTACTTCTGAAGGTGATTTATTCCATACTTTACTAAGTTTTACTAAGTTTCCAAATCTCTACTCCAGTCCTTCTAGTATTGCTTATTTTTCATATAATAGATCAATAGCATCTCAAAGAGGATCTCGCAATTATTTACAAAATGGATCTTGCGTATTTTCCTTAGATGTATAGCTAATAATAGCTAGTAATGTGATGTGATGGATTCAGTTGGCGTAAGACTGTTTTTTTTTACTCTCAGTTTGCTTAATTGATTTATCAAACCTAGCAAGAAGCATTCAGTAATGTATTTTAAGGAGGAATGAACGAAAATTTTGTGTATTTTCGTAAGATTCCTTTTTTCTTAGGATCTTTTTTTTTATTTATTTATAAACCCCAAGCAATTTTTAAGTCATTTAAGTCATAAGTCATTATCAAGGCGTTTTCAGTGAATCGGAAAAATTTTCATATGTGGGCGCAAATTTTTTTATCAGTACCAAATAGTCAATAAGATGGCAAGAATAATTATGTTCCTAGGATCTTATTTTATTTTTATTCTTAATGTTTCTTATAGTTCTCATTTTTCCTCATTGATGTTCTCTTATATGAAAGCATAGTTTGTTCTTAAGTATAATCATTTTAAACAATTTAAACAATTTTCATTCTATTTTTATAAATGTGATTGTTGTTTATAAATAATTGATTGTGCTGATTTCTATTTCTTAATTTCTTTGAATATTTTTTATAATTTATAATTTTTATAATAATTATGATTATCATGTTTGTTATAACCAACCATTCATTCATTTTTTTTCCTATAGTTTTTCTTCTGCTATTTAATCATCCAAGTTTAAAATAGCTGCTAAATTATTTTACTGTATTATTATTATTATTATTATGTTCTGCCCAATAATAAAATTATTATTATTGTGTCGTTATTATTATTATGTTCTGCACCAATAAATCATTCTGATAATTTTTGTGCAGTTCATATCAACTAACAATTAGGACCAGTATAATATAATAGCAAGCAATAATTTTTAATAAAAAATCTAAAAAAAAATTTTCCAAAATTTTTTTCAGAGAAATCCGAAAATTTCTTTGCATAGAGAAAAGAATAAATGTGAAAGAATTCAACCAAGAAACATTTTAATTCCATTTTAGATTTCTTAAATTTGCGGAATTTCTTGATTTTTTTTATTTTGGACCGACTGGTTTGTCGATCCATTTTGTCAGGAAGTGAGCCAGTGATTTTTTTTTCTTTAAATAATTCTAAATTTTTTAAATAAAATATTTTGTTTGCCTCATTCAAATAAGAAAATAAGGAAAAGAAAAAAAAACAGTGGCAAAAAACTCCACTCCAAATTAACTTTTACTTCATTTTTACTAACTGAATGCATAATTTTACAAAAAAAAAGAATCGTGAAAATATAATGAAAATAAAATTATTTAAAATTTTTTCAATATTGAAATGAGCAGATAAGCAGTTTGAAAGACAATAAGTAAATTAAATTTTGTCAAAGTGTAGAAATTCGCGCAATTTAATCGGAAAACATTAATGTTCCATTTGGTGCCAAACCACGTAGTTGTTTTTGATATGTGCCGGTTGCTGGTGCATTTAAATTGTTGTAACGTGACATTCGTGCTGTTTCGTCGAGTTCACTCGGTCGACTCGAATAATCCGATGGATTGCAGTCCAGCTGCGTGATAATAGTTGAATCTGGAGTAGAGATGGCCTTCGTTGTTGGTAAATCGTAGGAAAAATGATTTCCAATCCTTATTTCAAAATCGGTTGGATGATAATTATCAGAGTCGAATGATGCTTCCATTCTGCGCAAGCAATTACGGCTTGTACTATCGCAATTGAGAAGATCATCATACGATGGCGAAATTAAGCCTTTAAATAAATACAAAAAATAAGAATTAAAAATAGTTTTTTAAACAATAATCACTAAAATGACTTGAACAAACAAGAGTTCTAGCTGCTTTCCCTCATTTTTCTCCTAATAGCGCCTACAATTTCTGGTTGAGCTGGACAACTTATCGAATCATTTTATCAGGAAATGAACCAGTATTACTCGAACTTTCTCTCTCATACTACAACTATTTAAGCTAGTTCTGTGGGGTACCACATTTGCTGTACTATATTATGCACGTCATGCAGAGTAATAACTCAATTTTTAACTCTAATTTTAGAAAATTAGAAATTTAAAAATTATCAGTGGCTGTGATAATTGCGATTATATCGCGATGGTTCATTAATTACATCGAAAAAATTCGCTAAAATACTTTTATTTAAATATATTTAAATATATTTATTTAAATATATAAAATATATATTTTTGTTTAATTGAAACAAGTGATTAGCTCAAGTGATAATATAACAAGTGATAATATTAGTGACAATTATGCCAAGGATTATATCTCTTGGAGCTATAGATGAGCCGCTAGCATCGCTCAGATTTTACACAACTTTATTCCTGCCAGGAGAACCTCAGCATTTGAGTTTAAGCAACTCACTCACTTAGCCATTTTATTCTCTTTTGCTTTCTCCGTTATGGAACGAAGCATGGTTGAATTCAAACCCAATGCTTGATTCTCCATGGCAATTATCTCGCTATTGAGCCATTTTTGTTTGATTGAAACAAGTGATTAGCGCTCACCATTATTAATCAAGCTAGTTGTTAGCTTTTAATACGATTAAAGATCTTTTTTTAAGGAAGTCACTTGGCCAGAAGTACAGATGAGTCGCCAGCATGAATCTTTTTTAAAGATGGCTCTTACTCTTGCTTAGTTTAATTTTTGCTTTAATTTATCACAATAAATAAAATTAGTAACCGGAAAATTTCGGATAATATATAGCGACATCAGGCAATTCACCGACGAAGCATTCATCCTTTTGTTTTCGATAAGAAAATAATGGTTCACTCATCGTTCGTAAATTTTTTCTAAAATTAAAATTAGAGGACTCGCAAAATTTTTGAAACGACTTTTTTTTATAAATCTTTATAATATACAAAAATAAAATATTCAAAAATTATATTCAAAAATTAATTATAGTAAAAATAATAAAAAAAAATTATAGAATGTGAATAAATAATTAAAAATTCGTGAAAAAAATTTAAAATATTTTAAATTATTTAAATGCAAACTTTTCATCTTTATTTCTCATCTTTTTTATTTTTTTCTTAAAAAAACTTTCTTTTTTTTCACATTTTTCTTAAGAAAAAAATGCACGAAAAAAGATAGGAAATAAAAAAAGAAAAAACATTAAAAAGTTTAATATTTCGAAAAAATATTAAAGTAATTAAAAAAAAACCTCAAAAATTGTTGTAAAAAGACGAAATATATTAATGGAGTGTAAAATACGAAATAAAGAAATGTTGTGAGATCAATAATGCTGAAAAATTATTTGGTTAATTATTTTAATCTAAAAATATTTTTTTCAACAAATTTATATTCCTTTTTTCTTTCAAATTTTAAAAATTTGCTGCTTCGCTATAACAAATTAAAACCATTAAATGTCGAGAGAAATATCGTTAATTTTGAATTGAGAAATTTTGTGATTTATAAAAATTCAATAGGATGACCAGCGAAAAAAATTTTGAAAATCAAAAATTTGAGAATTAATTGAATTGAAAATAAAAAAAGAATGCTATTTTATCGTAATGTATTCAAAAAAGAATGAAAAAATGAAGAGTGATTTGTTGCGAATTCCTCGAATTCCTTGAGTTTAAGGATGCTAATTTACGGTCGAATTCCTATAGTCGAATTCTCAAATTTTTTTTATGAGATTATTCCAGCAAAATTTATTTTAAAATATAAAATGTAAAAATATTTATTTGCTTATAATATTTTTTATATAAAATGTTTTATATTTTCATAATTACAATATCGTTGATTCCTACTAAACTACTGCTAGTGTTGTAAAAAATAACACCAATTAATAGCCTAATAAAAGTGACATTTGATAAAATATCTTATATTTTACTCGTGAAGCTAAGAATTTCTTTAAGGCTTCAATATCATAAATTTCTTAGAAGAACTAATAAAGAATCTATTTTAATAATATAATATATAATAAAATACAGTAATATAAAATTTAATTATAATGGAAAATAGACTTAACAATTTCTTAATTTACGAAATGATGAATGAAATTTAATTCAATTGACTAACCATAAACCATCAAGACTATTCATAAAAAAAAGAATCGATCCAGTCGTCTGGATGGCATTCATAATCGCCATTATGATACAGTAGCAGCCAAATGAACTGGTCACTAGATGTATGTGTATAAATTGGTAAATTAGATTAGGCATATTTTTTGAAATTTTCTATATGATTCCAGCATTCTTACTTATTTTCTTATGAATATACTCCAGAATTTCAAAAGTGACTCAATTACAATAAAACTTAATCTTTGGATAAAAAATATTAAAATGATAAAAAAAAAATTAAAATAAACCTGGTAAGTTGAAACATTTCTGAATGCAAGTTGAAGATAATATATACATTAGAATATAAATCTGAAAAGACGATAAAGGAAGGAAATGAAGGAAGAGAGGAAGGAATTATTTCCTAAATTCATTAGTAAAAAGAAATACTTTAAGAGAATGCAAAACCGTATGTTTCATTACGCATTCAGAAATTATTGTCACAATCTAGCAAAAATTCTATTAATATATTAATTCTACTAATAAAAAATATTTATTTTTTATTTAATGAATATTCATTCATTTAAATTTGAATATTTAAACATAAAATCAAAAATATGCATATCGCATAAGAAAAAAAAAATTTTAAAACTGTTTGTTTAAAATTAAAATTATTAAATTAAAATTATGTTTAACTTACGAAAGAAAATGCTATTGACGAAAAAATCCAAAATCCGATTCCACCATTTGCATAAACATCAAACAAACTTGCATCGTTTTTCCAATAACCCTGTAAAAATTTAAGAAAAAATCTATGAATTAATTTTACGACTTTTTTATAACAATAAACTACTCGAAGGCTTTCTAATTATAGAAAAATAATTTCGCAAATAATCGCTTTTTTTCTAACTATTATATTTAAAAATTTTAATATTTTTTAATTTATTTATTTCAAAATTTAAAAGAAAATCGAAAATCGAATCCAATCTGCGAATTTTTTTCGTCGCATATCTTCTTTCTTTAAACAAATCCGGTTTATAATATATTGCAGAAAATTGAATATTAAATTAAATTAAAATTAAATATTAAATTAAATTAAAATTAAATTAAGATTTAAGAAGATTTGAAAAAAATTTTACATATTATATTTGCCTATTATATTATATTATTTTACTTCTATATTTCATTAACTTTATTATATTTTATTTATTTTATTTTATTAAATATTATCAACTATAATAAACTTACTATTACAAAAAATTCGAATATACTCTGTAATGCAATATAAATTAAAGAAATAAAAATCGAACACTTCCAAATATTTTTAACATTTCTTTTATTACCAAAACGATCTGAAATCATCAAATTTTTTTTATTAAGCGAATAATATAATATAAGCGAATAATATTAATAATGAAAACAGTAGCAATAATAAATAATAATAATTGAAATAAATATATAATAAATCTTACTGTTTAAAAGTCCGAAGGAAAGAATACCCAATTCAATGGTTAATAGCGAAAATTGAATTATAAGCCATAAAGCCTTAAATCAAGAAAAAATTAAAGAAATATTTTATTCTTTTTTCTAATATGCAAATATGGTGGAATAATTTGTTATCCATTTTCAATAACAAATTATTTCAATACTTTTTCTTTGATAAATTTTAAAAAATTTACAAAAAAAAAGTTTTACGAACTGCGTTTATTTTTATGTTCGAAAAATATTAGTGTAACAACGATAATTTTTCGATTAATATCATTTATTTCCTAATCACTAAAATTCACTAATATTATTAATATTGATCACTAATATTTATGTTCTATTATTATCACTCATCAATATATTACTTTATTGATAATTTCAGGTCGAAAAGTTTGGCTCGTAGCGCTGATTGCCATCGATGCAAAACATCGCAATAAATTTACGAAAGACGATGCATAAACCTGAAAAATACAAAACTAAAGCGATATCGATAAAAAGCCATAAATTTATAAATAATTTAAAATAATTTCGCAAAATTTTTCATTTAAAAATAATAATCTAAGATTTTTTTTGGATAATTTTCGAAGATAACATTTTAAAGAGCAATATTTTGTAAACTAATTTATGAGCTAATAAATATTTATAAGATTAAAATTAATATTAAAATCAATATTATTATTTCATATTACTAAATAACAAATATTTCACAGATTTTAATTTTTCATCATCTCTTTGGGGACAAATAATGTAATTATTGTTGGATGATTTAAAAATTCGATTTTAATTAGTCAAAAACGACAAAATATTTGTACGGTTGGGATTAAATTTCTGCAAATTACTTGTATTTACTTATTATTAATCATTCTAAAATCCATAAATTTCCAAAATCTCACCAAAATAAAAAAACTTTTGAAAATCGCACTTTGTATTTCTTTAATTTTTCGTCTAATTAAATTAATTCTGAATAAAAGAAATAGAAAAAACAATAAATTTGGGACCATCACAGCAATATCCCAATAACGAATCCTGAAAAAAACATCAAATTTATAAGAATACAATAAAATAATTCCATAAAAATAGATCCTTTTACAATTAAATAATTATATTTATCACTTTTTCAACGTTAACTTAAGAAATATAAAACGTAAAACAAAAACGTAAATAAAATAGTCATATTCGACATCTTCTCACCTATATTCATTTATTTCTTCAGTCAGAACTGATTTGCAGAAATCACGAATCCTGTTATGTGCCGGGCTCCCAAAGAATATTATCGCTCTACTATCATTATCGAATCCTTGATTAGCTGATAAATATGAATTCCAATCGAACCAATCGATTTTCGTGTAGTAATCAAAAGTTGAATTAAGAAAATTTCCAAAAAATGAAGTCGCATTCCTAAAACAATTTAATATTAACGATTTAAAAAATATTTATAATATTAAATATGATTATTATCATTGAAATAATTTATTTGTATTGCATAATCCCCAGAGAAAAAAAAATTTTAATTCTCGCTAGAATTATCACTAAGAAAATATTTCAGTTTTGCGCATTAAATTCCAATAACTATTTTCAAAATATTCTAAAAATTTCGAATTAACAAATAATATTTAAAAATTAATATTTTCATGGGATAAGAAATAAACATCGAACTATGGTGTAACTTGAATTTTATTTTCATCGAAGAAATTAATACATTTGCAAATTTTATCGAAGAAAAATAAAATTATAAAAGAAAACAATCTAAGGAAATAATGTTTCGTTAGCACTTTAAAATTTTCGTTAAAATAAATATATAAAAAAAGTAAAAATCTCTTTCAAAGCTTTTCTTCGATTGAAGGCTAATTTATTAAATTGGATTCTCCTTGAATAAAACGATAAATAAATTCATCGAAAATTATTGTATAGCTAAAATGCCGATTTTTTTCTTCAAATAATCCAAAAATATATTTTGTAATTGTTATATATAATAATAATATTATTGAAATTTATAAATTTCGAAGAATAATGAAAATCTATTTCAATTCCTTCTAAAGTTTATTATTGCTATAAAATTCAAATCCTTTATGGTGAAAATGTATGCTTCAATTTTATTCACTTATTTTATTCACTTATTCACTTATTTTTATTTTATTTTATTAATATTTTATTCACTTATTTTTAATAATTTTTAATCTTATTTTTATGGTTTTTCTAATAAAAATTTATCGTTTTTATCGAAAGAAATTTTCACTTTTCATTCACTTATTTTTTCGCTTTCAGTTTAATATTAATGTAATTTATAATA